GGAGCTGTGCTCGACACACATTTCTTTGATTGACCCAACTTAAAAATAATCTTGCGTTTCATAGATCCTGGCTGGACAGTGTGGTGACATACTTAAATGTAAAACTTGACGTGGTTTTCACGACTCTGGGGAATGGTGTGTATGTTCCTTTTACACTAAGAAGTAGTAGACATCCCCGCCATGTGAACTGGGATGCACCCCGTTCTTGAAGTAGAATTAAAGTTGCAGAACGGAGATAGCAAATGTTAATTGGTTTTTGAGGATGCTGAGATCAAACCCTGATGAGAGAAGTGATGGCGCCTCACCGAGCTCTTAGGCAGAAAGAAATGTGCCAGGAAGATTTATAGCTGCATTTATTTCGAAGGTGACTGCACGCCAAAGGTCAGGGAACATACAGTCTTTGCTGTGGTACGCTTCCAGAGTGTTTTGGAAGGGAATGTAAACTGAGGGACTCTCCATTTACCTCAGGGCTATCGCACTGAATGTGGAAGAGGTGCAGGAGCCTCAGAGTGTTGCAGACTCTTGGAGTGTGTGGTTTCAAGCTTAAAAATGGGAAATAGCCCCGTTATAGTCATTTTAAGTAACAAGATGATTCATATTTTTAGAACACCGTATGATATATTAGTGACATGTCCATAATATTATAACCGACGTATTTGTTCAGAACAACATACCTTGTAAAAACTTGCTAGTGAATGTCCCTATTTGCAAGGCTGAAGTAAACTCTTAAAGTTCTTCCCATCAGAAAACCATCCTGTGATATGGAAATTTACCTCCTGACAAAACAACTTGTTTCCTGATGTGGTGATAATGCCAGATTAATTCTGCTTTTTTTTTCTTAATTGCAATTTAAAATAAATGTCATTAGACTGATAACACTGCAGAATTTCAAAACTCAAACATTCAGATAAAAGATGCAGACGGTGCTGACTGAGTTGATGTCTGGGCTCTCGTGTCTGCCAAAGGAGAGTGCAGAATATGGAATGTGTTTTCAAACCAAGTTCTATTCTGTTCTGTCTGAGCGTGAACCTACTTCTCCTAAACCCCCGGCCCGCAGAAGAAAAGCAACTGTTTGACTCAATCCAGGCTGCCTTTGTTGGGACATGCTAGCCAAAGCTGCAGTTTTACTAACACAGGTACACATGTGCACTCTTGAATCGATAGGTATATCTTTACTGTTTTGTGTCCCTGAAAACAACCACAGAAATGAATCTGAACACACACCAGCCAGCACCTTCTCTCCCTGTTCTCCCGAGCTTTCCGGTCTCATAGCAACCTGAACATGCTCCGCTCTTTGAAGACATGAAACTTGGACCAACTTCCAGTCCCACTTATTTTTAAGTAGCTCTGTAACATGTGTATTATTAATTTAGGAAGCCACCTTAAAACTGGCAGAAAAGGAAGGCATCCCACCCGAATGCTTGAAACAAGGCAATCCTGGTGAAAAGCTGCTTTCTCAGCAGCACATCCTAAAAGGACTTTTTAACTGGAAGGGCTGGCTTACAACATTTTCATCTTGCACCCTTTATACCAAAAGGCATCAACATAGAATGGAGCTAGGAAGAATTTTTAATGGATTGAGTGAGATTAAATCTATCGTTTTTACCCAGGGAAACTTCCTTTCTCATTTATTCTCAGGCAGTCTCATGAAAAGGACTATTAAAGTGATGAGCTGGAGTGTTTTGACAAGCACTTAAACTGCAGAAAGTTGAAATCTCACTGGACTGCAGTTATATATTCACTGGGACAGAAGAGTGCCCTATTTAAAAACTAGGACGGATCGTGTTGATATGAAGAAGGAAATAGCTCCATGAACAAGACATCTGACATAAAGAATGAGTTTCTGGCGTCCATCAAAAATCAACAGGAAATGTAATTACTCTTTGAAAGTTCTCGCATCCTGTCTTACAGTTCTAAATGGATTAAAAAATATTATTTGTACTCAGAATGCCATTGTAAAACCAAGGATGGAAAGAAACGTAGCAATGATCTGATGAAAAGTGCCACGTTAGGGACGAGAGAGACCAGCCCACGTTAGGGAACACCGTTTCCCTCGATCGGACCTCTCTGCTCTCTTTCTTGGAGTCTCTCCAGAGAGAGGTCTCTCTGCCTGTGTTATGAGCATGATAGGAGGTACACAGGCAATGACAAGGGACCCTTTTATGCAGAGCCATCACACGATTTTAACAGCCCTACTCCATGTTTTCTGCTGTTTGTTTTCCCACAGTTTGGAAGGCTCTGACTCTGGCTAGACAAGGATGCTTGCCAAAGCAAGTGTTGTATTTCACTATGTTATAATATTGCTCAGGCCGCAGCAGGAAGGCCTGTGACTGTCGCTATTCTTCCTGGCATATATCCTGCAGCAAAAGCTCAAAGTAACATACAAGCATCAGTGGTGAATCAGGAACAACGCCCGTGGCCGTCCATCCCCACACACAGTTCACGCGTCTCACAACTCACCATTTCTTCTAAGGTATTAGTTTGAATACCCTCGATAGTTATTGGTAGCCGCTGGTTTGCATGATGTTGAAATTTATCTTTCGACTTTCCAAGCCCTTGACCGAACCTTTCCCTGCTTTCTGAAATAAGTGAAGTTGGTTTAGGTTTTCTCTAAGGCTGGACTATGAACCCAAAATCATCTTTAACACATTTTCAAGCCCAGCCAGCAAAACGTTTTCTGTTTCTCTGCTGCAAAGAAGGAACCACAACCATTTTGGGTTTAAGATGATAGGGCCATTCCGAGGACATATTTAGTAAAAGAGAAACCAGAGCAAACATTTTCACCAAGTTTGCAAAACACCCTCCTTCTCTCCCTTTAAGTTTTTTACCGTTGCCTTCTAAAAGCAGAGTATGAACACGAACATTTATAAATAATCTCTCACCATTGATAGTTTTAAAGCAGAGTGACCGACACCAATTTTGCCATTATCAGCTACTTGTTCAGGCAAGACAAATACGCACACAGCCACGCATACGCTCCCCAGAAAATAAACCAGGTACGTGACCCACAGCAGCTGTCTGCCCTGCGCTTAGCAAACAGGTCATCTTGGAAAATGCGTTTCTTCATATAAATAGATTTCTTCGTAATCATGCACAGTGTTCATGGAAACATTTCCAATTCTTAGTGGAGACAAGAACACACAAATAGATAAAAATTAGATTGTTTCTTACCTTTTGGAAAGCAGGCAAAAGCTATACTGTTGGTGGGATAGTGTACCAAGTAACAGACTTTTGTACACTTTTTCTTACTGGTGGTATACAGTCTACAGGGAAAGTAAATATACAGGCATGTAGAAAATGAATGCGCACACAATACTCCTCGTTACTCTCTTTCATTTCCTTTCGGAGAAGAGGCTGCGATAGAGACCAGAGACATTGTGCCCACTCCTTGAGTGGGTGCAGTAGCCTTTGGTAGACCAGCTCACCACAATTCAGGTACCTCTGAACATGGGAGTATGGGTGCCTCTTGGATTAAGGCAACTGGGTTTTGCTTGCTTGGACTGGAGCAGTTGAGAGAACTAGCTCCAAAGTCATGTATCTGTCTGGTCAGAGCAATTTTTTCTTCCTGTTGCCATCCCCTTTGTTTTTTTTTTTACCCTCAACCTAGTCCTACATTCCTGCTTGACCAGCCTGCACGGTTAGTCCAGAAGGATGAAACAAGTAACAGAATGTTGAGAATGTCAGGGATCCAAATGAATGAAGAAGCAAAACAAAACAAAAACCATAACAAATTGACACAGCACGGGAGTGTGTTCCAGAGTTTTCTAGGCATCGTTACTTCTGTAGGGTTTGGTGCCCACATCCATTTTCCAGCAGTTTGGGGTCTTTTTGTGTGTTCTTTTTGTTTGTTTTTAAATGAACTAGCTTCTTATATTGACAGCTGTACTAATTTATGTAATAATTGCCTTCTTTGAAAACAGCACGGATTTTTCTTTGTACATTTTCCTTATGGTAAATGCAAAAATGGTAGTAACAGCACCAGAATACAAACTTATATTAAAAAAAACCCTAATTTTAGATTTTCTATTTTAGATGTAAATTGTCATTGTTCTTAAATGTGCTTCACCACACAACAGGCTCATTGTCTTAAACTAGTCTTTTTACGCAGTGTGTGTGCAGCCTCTCTGTCAGGGTCAGTTTATCACACATACAGCCCCATACCCCAAAACGGGGGTGTATCTCACCCAAGCTGTCCACCTGCCTGCCGTCTCTAGTTGGTACCCAAGTTCCGGAGTCAACTATCTGTAACCAGTCAGAGTACTTGAGCGGTTTCTCTGCCTTGCCCAGGGGCACTGGCTCAGAAAATGGATGGACGTTTAGGACTAGGTGGCTTAGGGCTGCTCGTTGCTGTGCCCTGCAGTCCTGTACAAGGGAAGCATCTGACCAGAGGGTCATTCACAGAGCATCTTCTGGTTCTGACCAGTCCAGGTGAGGAAGAGAGAAGTTCTCACCCACCATCTCAATAAAGCCATGCTGTCTCAGTTAATATTATTCATCCCAAAAGGTCTTGGTGGCCATCGATAAGCCAAGAACCAAGTCCTCCTGTTTATCTGGCATCTACAAGTTTGCCACGAACATACATCTGCCAAGTCAACAACAGAAAGGATGGGGAAACATGCCAAATACATTACACAGGTGCGAGAACCAGAGCTTAGAAAAGGAGTGTCGAGAAGGCGTCATTGTGGCCAGATCTAAAGCTATCCATGCTAGGTCAGGTCCTTCTGATCCTCTGGCCACAGAAATGTCTGCACAAATAAAAATCCAGCAAGTAGCTGAGCTGTACTCCTATGCCTCCTACTGGTTTTCAGTCTGAGTGCAGAAACCAGCAAGCAAGCACTGGCCCAACTCTGAATATCCAATATGTCAGTATTACACAGATACATTAACATCTGGGGGACCATTTACTTTTTTATTGAATCTGTGCAGAAAGAAGTTTTTCTTTCAAACAATGGGATTTTAACTGAAGAAGCAACCTAAGAGGAAAACTGAACTTCTTGGGGGAAAAATCCAGCAGTACGGGGCACTTGTAATTCCTGCCCATAGGAAGCCAACAGGCACCTTCGTTCCTGTGTAGACATGAATTGCAGCCTGGAGTTGGATGAGCAGAAGCGAGCATGAGGCAGATGGCCAGCTGCAGAGATGGAGCAGGGCTGTTACAAATGGACACACTGAAGACTGAAGTACAGTGAGGCTAAGTGCTGAGAGCGACAATGAACATGGGGGTGCTTCTGTCCCATTATTAACTTGGTAGCTCAGACTCTACATAGCTTCCTCCCAGATACCCTGCCTCAGAGAACAGCAGACAGAACTTCCCCTCTGGAAAAACAGATTCCTTTTTCAGGTACATGCTCTGTGATTTTGTTTGTTTCTTTTTAACCAGACAACTTAGTTTCAGCAAATAATGTCTTGGTCTCTGTTATCAAAGTTCAAACAGTTGACCTAATCTGAGCCATATTTGGTACCAAATTGACTATAATACTGATGTTCCCTCTCATCAGAACAGTCTTGTCTGTTTCCATTAATTGAATTTCTTATTGCTGTTCTTTCTCTACAAACAGTCCTTTCTGCATTGCTAGGGACTGGGTTTCCAAGCAGAATTGCTGTCTGTGATACCGCTCTCCCCCTATTGGCGACTCCTTTTGGGTCATTTACAATTACTGTATGTTTGCGCTTTTGTCTCACCTCAAATACCTCGTTCCGTGACGTTAGCTCTGTCCCTGATCAGCAGTACTGCCTAGGCCTTGGGAGGTACTTCCGATATGGGCTCAGACTGAGTGTCCCAGAGTGAAATCCTTGCCATTAAGATCTCCAGCTGTGTTCTCAACACAGCAGACAGCCATGGATGGCTGTTTCAGTTTATTTAAATGGCGGTAACGTTACAAGTGTTTTTCCTCAGTTACGTAGCCATATGTCAGGTGCTGAGTCGCCACACGTGACTAGCGGTGACTGTGCTGGACAGCAGAGATAGAGGACATTTCCCTCACTGCAGAAAGTTCTTTTGGACAGATTTTGTGCAGATGAGGTCTTGTGATCCCTCTCAGGGACCTCTGAGAGCTGGGTCATCAGAAACCCCAATGTTTGGAGGTACGTGAATCTCCTCCTCTGGTTTAGCAAGTATCTCGGCAAATTATCCATGGTTAGTTTTAGGGAGTGTCTACTACCCAAAACCAAAATAGCTAAAATCATCAAAAAATTTTTTTGGATTGGTTGTGAGACAAAGGCTCTATTTGATTTCATTTTTTTGCCTTGAACTATTTACTTTTGGTCTGTGTAGACACCAAAACGTCAACAGTGACAAAACCCAAGAAAACATTTTTCAAGGGAAAGGCACCCAATGAATTCCAAATGGAGTAAGTGTCATGACTGACACCAGCAATAAGAGATTTGGATTTTCGAGTTGGTAAGATGAGGCCTCTACCTGGGCAGCCTTCTTTGAGCTCAGGTTACTCCTGCCTCTGCAGACAACACAGCAAAGCAACAACGCATTTCACAGCACATTTAACCCCGAGGCTGCCACCACGCGTCATCGTTGTCTTTCTACGCAAGCTGTAGCCGAAAGGGTCAGGTCTGCATCAGAATTATGACATGTCACACACGTTCTGAGAAACAGAGCAGCAAAGAGCAACAAGCATGGGTTTGGGAGTCAGACCTGGGTATCAGTCCAAGCTCTGCTGCTAAGGAGGGTGGGGCCTTGGCGATGGACTTGATCTCCCTAAGCCTAGGCTCCTTCGGTAAAGCGAGACTCACGGTCACCTGTCTACAGAGTTCTCGTGAGGAGGAAGCGAGGTCTTCCAGCCGAAGCGTGCTGTTCAGTGCCTGCTTCAAAGGGTAGCTGATGCGTTTTTATTACTGTCAGTGTTAGCATTTTAACAGCCATCACTGTATCCTACTCAATTAAGGTTAACACTAGTAACAATGGTTTGAAAACTAGGTGTTTTTAAGCAGCATAATATTAGGTGAGTTACCCAAATTCAAAACTTCTAATTTGGTCTTTTTTTTTTCCTAATACATATAGACTTTTGACTGTATTTTCTGCTTTTCTGGTTTTGGGCATATCTAGTTCAGTTTGCACACGTGTGTGTGTGTGTGTGTGAATGACTATAAATGTAAACTTGCCGTTGGAATGTCTTCCGGGTAAGGGTTTTGTGAAATGCTAATCTGACAAGGGGTCTGAGAATAAAACACTGCAGAAGTATAACTATGTAGGTGTAGTTATTACATATAAATAGATGCAGAAATATGTTCATGGAAATGTTTTTGTTGGTCACTGCCATCCACCTCATGGTGTTTGGTGTGACTGACTACACCGTCATATCTTTGTAACCAGTCACAGTGAAATTTACTTTTAGGAAAGCTTTTTGCCTTTTCAGAAGTGGGAGAAAATTAACATTTCATTGACACACTCTTTTCCAGATGCAGGCTATTTTCTGACACACTTATGACACCAGTATTACGGACCTCCATTTTACATGTGCAAATGCTGAGCTTTAGCAAAGCTCAATGATTCTAACAGCCACACAGCTGGTGAGTGGAGTGGCTTGGATTTGAACCCAGGTCTGTCTCACCCGAAGCCTCCCCCTGCACCACACTGAGTATCACGCAGCTCGCCGTCCACTCCCCCTCCTCTCGGCGGACCGTTTGTCCGGAAGACACGAGAACAGAGCCTTTACGTGCATTCTGTTTCTCCCCTCTCTCGGTCTGACGCTTCTCCTTCCTCTCACCTTGCCCGTGATGTTGTTAATGGGCCTTGTCTGTATCCTGTCAGGTGTTCATGAATTCATTCAACCAACTGTTTAGAAATGGAGGTGGGCCAACATCATAGATCTCTGTATAGTCGTTGTCAGGGTCAAACTCAGTTCTTTGCTGGTTTTTAAAAATCTCTTGGTTGAAGAGGATAAAGGGTTACCTCTGAGTATTTAGAATAGGAACTACTTTCTGCTTGGCAATAACCCTTTGGCTACAACAAAATCAGCTCATAACTGAACAATAATAAGTCTTGAATGACTTTCATGGACAGCCTGAATCCTCCTCTCCTCTGAGAGAAGTATTAGGAACACATCCATCTGCCTCGTTCTATATGGAACTGGTCAAGACTTCCTGGAAAAACAACCCTAGAAGTTACAGGTGTAATATGAAATGGACTCTTACCATCACAGTGTTAGTAAAATTAGGAAATGGGAATTCTGTGAATTTAACTCTGGTTAAATGGTCTTTTTTTTTAAACAAAGTAGTGTCTGTATGTCCATCTCTTCTGTGGTCATTTGCAGGGGTTACTAAAGGTTACCCAGGGGTTGCAGATGTGCCATGTGCTACACCACATCTGGCATTTCATCCTTAACCCAGTCTCTCACATCTGCTCTTTCATGGGACCAAACTCCTCTTCGGTGGTGTGTTAGGTATTTTTTCTGGACCTGTGTACTTGGATGAAAGTTTGCCAGCTTTATTCACTATTTTATATAATTTTTTGTTTCTAGAGGCCTTGCTTAGTAAAGAATCATAAATTTCTCCATATTTATATTCCAGTGGAAAGAAGTTACTGCTTCTAAAGGTCTTAAATACCCCAGCTTCACTCCTGTGCTGTAGTTCAGTGGGGGGCCAGAGGCTCCCTAGCAGGAAGCTGTTCCCCTAAGAGGAAGGGAGCGAGGAAGGTGGCTCACGACTGAACAACTGTGTTGATGTCAATCAGAGGGTTTGGGACCAAAGGACGAGAAGCCAGGGGAGGGGGGAGATTTCACACTTGTGAAGCACAGCCTCTGAAAGCTGCTTTCCAAGAGGGAGCAAAAGTAAAATAGTGGCAAGAATGAGGCAAGCCCTTCAGAGCAAAAGTTAGCATTTGCCAAGGCAACCCAGCCCGTCAGACAAGAATGCTCACGGTCTTTCTCCAAAGACAGGCAAGCACACGCCACATTTTCGAGCGCTTCCTGACGCAGGCGGGAGGGTGGAAGGAAAGGAGAAGTACTTACTGTTTGGGTCTACGTTCTCACAGAGCTCTGTCTTTGCCTCACCGTTGGGTCTGTCACTGGGTTTGTGTGACAGCCGCGATGACATGGTGGCTGCTGTGACTACCGCCTTGAAGCTTCGCTTCCGTTTCTGGACATTGAGTTCAGGGTGGAAAATGATGATGTACACTTTCGGCATGTACAGCATCCCCAGCGCCACTGACGCACTTAGGTTCATGGAGATTGTGAGCGTGGTGGTTTGTATGTAGAGCTAGGAGACACAACACACAAGACACTATTACAAATAAAATGACTGCGGAGGGAGTCTGAACACTTAGTGTGATGTCAAGCATGGCTATGGCTGGCAGAGAAAGCACAGTAATTTCTAGGGAGACAGAATGACTCAGTGTGTATCTTGGAGAGCTTACGTATCTATATGTTTATTGATTGCAAATCATTCCGTGACTCCGTGCTCATGCCTGCCCTGGACACGTCTCCCACTTGGAAGTTCAGGGTCGACCTTTAATTAGGTTGGAAGTACCTTCATTTAGAACGGCAGCTGAATTTGAAGACATGCAGATCACATTTGTTACCTTGAGTTAAGGGATAGTTGTTTTTTTTTAATCCCCCATACATTCACAAAAAGATTAACACTCCAAGGGATCTCTTACTTCACAGATATTCTGGGACCTTATTGGAAATGCCAATATGTCAATATGTGTTATCTTTCTGTATTGTTTTTTAAAAGGGTTCACCTTCACCATAATCTACAAAGCAGGGAGTTAAGTTTCCCTGGAAAGTAAGCCCTTCTTGCTTAAGTCTGATTTGCAAAACACCAATGGCAAGAGACTAGGATCTAGTGATGTTGGCTTGTCCCGTCTCTCTGCGTTGACGACTGCGCAAAGAATACAAAACCGCATCCTGACATGTGCTATGTGTAGTTCGGATGGTGCTCCTTTGTCTCTCTTTGCTTCCTTGAGAACTCAGTAGAGCAACCATTTACAACTTACTGTTCAGTGTGTGAAGTCATCGTCTTGCCTACATTTGAAAGATGAAGGGTGAAGGGGGTGCTGGATGGTAAGATCAGTAAGGGAGAGCTACAGACAACTTGCATCGGTCCAGTTGCGTTTATGAGGTGCCCTGTCATCGTTCACAGCCCACCATTCATTTACACATGTTTGTATGTTGCATGACTTCTAAAGGCTCGATGAAACGTGAGGTGGTGGGTATATAATTAACTTGACTGTGGTAATCATTTCACAATGTATGCATACATTAAATCATCACGTCATATGCCATAAAAAATAATGGTATATAACCTAAATACACGTGATTTGTACTCATCAATCATACCTTGGTAAAGCTAGAAAAAAATGGATAAATACATAAACAGGTAGGTAGGTAAATACACACACTTCAGTTACATTTGAAAAACAAAAACAAAAACCAAGCCAGGCAACAAGCTACCAGGGCCATTTACATTACTGGAAACCTGGTTTCTTGGCAATGTATCTGATCATGGTTTCTACAGCTGCGTCTTCCCGTGCTTCTGAAGGTAAAACCTTCACCTTTAATAGATTCTCCAAGGCCCCCGGTGGTCCTCCCCCTGCCAGACTTTTCAGACTAATTCCCCACCACCTTGCCCAGCTCTCTCCCATGGCCGCCGTCCACCTGGCACCCCTTCAGGTCTAGAAGGTGCTGTGCTCACCCAGCTACTGAACGTTTATACATGCGTGCATGTGTTTTTTCTGGATTCTTGTTTTCTCCTCTATGGAATGTTCCTCTGCTTCTTCGAGCATCCATCCCAGGCTGCCCTCACCCACGGCCTCAAGTCTAGGCACCTTCCTTCCTTACAGGCACTCAGAAGTCAGTTTTCTTTGGCTCCCTGGTCTCTGTTTGTAGATGTTCGCCCACCACCCTGATCATCTGACTGCCCATCTCCCCGCCTGGGTTGTATGTTCCATGAAGGCAAGGACTTGTGTCTGGTGTGTCACTGTGTCTGCAGTGGTGGCCAATAGTAGGTGCTTAATAAACATACAATGGATGAGATCATGTGTTTGTATCGGGGACACCTTTTTCCTACTGATGGCTCTGTGGTCAAACAGCCTTTCTCTAAATATACAAGAAGACCTATTAGCTGCCTGGCTAGTTCTTATTTCTTCAATATGAGGCTCTGGAGAAGAAACTGAGAATTTTCTATCTCATGTGGAAGGAATACAGTTTTCCAGCAAACATTAATGGGGATGTATATGTCCCTGAATGCTTTCAAGGAGCTGCTAACTGTATAATATATTATAAATGTAAAATATAAAGACAAAACAGTATGGAATTAAAGATCCTCTTGGTTGTGAATTAGACAGCATTTGAAAAGCTCATCTTTTCCTATTAGACTTTCAACTCTGATCTACCCTGTTGCTACACTGTTCACAAAAGGCTGAGCATGGTCACACAGCTTGATGAACTGAAGTAATAACGCTTCCTTCCCTCATGGTCAGCGCCGTCATCCCACTAATGAGGGTTTTGCAAACCGTGAGTATAACCCGTCCGAGAAAGAAAGGGCCATAACTGATCCATGGTGATCGTAAGTCTTGTTTCTGTTTCTCTGCTTGAAAGCAAATTTTGCAGTTGAAGAAATCATCCTGTAGTTTGTTTTTGTTGTTGACTATTTATATTTAACTATAACATATATATGCTTATGTGACGTGGAATTGTATGTGCCTATACATGTATTCACACGTGCTTTTCCTTAACCAAGACTATGTAGTGATTTAAGACTCCAAAAGCTGATGTTTATTTTAATGGAGTATTTACTGGTCATTATTTTCAAGCTACATCCCATCAAGACTTTGATATTTACTTTGAAATGTTTGCAGTTTCTGATGACACTTCAGAAGTAGATGAAAACCAATAGGAATGTCACTGGCCAAATCCCTACGCCCTCAAATCCTCTGTGTGTCGCAGAGTGGTTATGAATGAGGAGTCCAGAGCCAGTCTGAGTTCAGTTCCCATTTACTGGCTCTGTGACCTTGGACAAGTGGCTTTGCCTCTCTGTGCCTCACTTGTAAGTGGGGCTGGTTAGATGAGTGTCTACCTCGTGACGTTGTCTTGATGATGAAGTGAGTTAGTATTTATAAAGGGATTACGACAGGACCTAGCATGTGGTTAGTACCATGAACGTATTTTTAAATAAGTTATAGAGGTCTCAGGATACAGCAGCTCCAGTCTGCAGGGACCATACGGGTGTTGGTTCATGGGGATCCAACTCCGCGAAGCCCCGGGAAGGGAACTAAATCACTGTCTTTTTGGCCCCTGGTGGGACACTCACCTTTGGACTCTTGAGTTTCCATCCCAGCATCTCCTTTAGTATACTGTCTCAGCAAATTCCAGCATGCTTATTTTTAGTTTCATGGCTATTCCTGTTTGACCCAAGGCTTATTTTAAAATGCATTACTCTGTTTAATTGTGGGTATTTCACACCATTTTACTTGATCTTCCTTATAATTTCTTTAGAGGGGTGAAGGTGTTGTGATCACTTTGGTCTCTTTGATCAAAGCACCTGAGTTCTTGCGCACATAGCTTTGCAGGTACCAACTGCCCCCCCCAGGACTGGCCACCCCCTGAGCCTCCTCCCATCGGTAGACTGAGCCCCATCACCAGTGGAGAAAGTCCGTCTGAAAATGGTCAACCCTCGATGGCTGAGGCCTAAGGAAGGATGCTGGCTGCCTTGGAGTTGCCTCGCACTGGGTACTTTTGCCTTAACTTTATCACCAACCTAAATGACTTCCTAGAATGCAGCTTCCGTTCCTTGGTTGAATGTGGCTCTTCTACCAACCACCATGTGTAAGTCAGCTTATATAACTAAGGGGCATTTAGGCAAGGGAGTCAGGGTCAAGCTGGCACCGTGTTTTTCACATTACCCTGGAACAGTAGTTTTCTTAAAGTCAGTGTACGGAATCCTTGGTTGAGACTGTCTCTCAGTTTCCTCATTTGTGAAATGAAGATAAGAATAGTTCATGTTTCAAATGGTGGCTTTGAAGATCTAATTCACTAATAAAGTGCTTAGTAGAATGCCTGGGAAACACGTACCCATGAAATGTTAGCTGCTGATGTTTATATTCTGCCGAATGTTTTTTATTAGGCTGTTGGGTGTCTTCCTTAGTAACCGCTGTCATATATTTTAAACTTTTTATATATGTCTTATTGATTAAGTGGAATGTAGTGTCTAGAAAACCAGGCCTGTTCATGTCTGGTCTGACTGATGCGCGCCAGCAAGCGTACTATTAAAGACACAGCTCTGTGCTTACTCAGTGCCAGGCAAAGCCCAGCTGGACCTGTCCTGTGCGTTTACTAATCCTAGCCTTCAAGCTCAGTGTCAGATCAAACCTGAACGCATTCCGTGAAATGCCGCTGTTGCTCGAGAAACTGGCCTGGCACTTAGGGTTACTTAAATTCTCCTTCTGTAAGTTTCAATTGATAAGATACTAAGAAATTCGAAAACTCCATAGTACTCATGAGCGAACTTTGAAACTTGTCAACTCTTCTGTGTCAGTTTCAGAATCAGTTTAATTGAAGACTATTTTGAGAGGTTTCAGGGCAAGCTGACCCCGTGCTTTAAACTCACTGTTGGCTGTGTTTTCCAGATAGGCTGTGTGAGAGAGCGAGCTTACTTCCCCGCTCTTGGTGTGTTCATCCGCTTAGCAGTTTGCCGTTTTCAGTGAGATGCGAACGTCCCTCAGCACCCGTGGGGGACAGGCTCTAGGACACCTGGGGACACCAAGCCTGAGGATGCTTGGGTCCCTTATATAAAATGGTGCAGTATCTGCACAGAACCTATGTACATCCTCCCGTGTATTCTAAATCCTCTCTGGATTACTTAGTTATATTACAAGACCCACTGTGATGTAAATGCTGTGTGAATTGTTGTAAATACAATGTAAATGTTATGTAAATCGTTGCCAGCACATAGCAAATTCAAGCTTTGCTTTTCGGAACTTTCTGGAAGTATTTCTTTTCCCTGAACGTTTCTGACGGGCAGTTAGTTGAATCCGTGAATGCAGAACCTGTGCATACAGAGGGCTTGCTGCCCCACCAAGTGGCTGCACAGGCCAGGCACCCGGCAGGTGAAGGCGAGCAGGAGAGGGCGCTCCCCCCGCCTTGGGGGAGCCACGTTCTAGCGGCAGGACGGATGCGATCGAGAATCAACTAACGCCTCATTTATTAACTGCTCACTGCAGCCTTTTTCTCAGAGTGTATACTGTTACCAGTTTTCTT